ATGACTCAACTCATCTACCCTCTGCTTGTCTCGCGTAGTGCGCACACACACACACACACACACACACACACACACGAGACGACTCCACCTGTTGCCGGCCGAATTTCGATGGCTTGGATCCCTCGCAAAATGGGGTAGCTGAGCGATTGATTCGTGGATTACTCGTGGATTTGGTACAGCGATAAACTGCCACTTGAGCCTTTCGCCCAAAGCCGGGCGTCTGATTGGCCCACGGGTCGACCAATCACGAGAAGGCTGGCGGTGGCATGGGCAAATCGCCCAATTCTTGGGCCTCACGTGGCCGGTTCAGGATGCCGAGGCGAGGCTTGCCGAACCGACTACAACGAAGCATGCAAGATGACACAACTTTGGAGCATGTCGGTGCTAAAGCGTGCTTGTGCTGACTCCTCTCACTGGCCTGCGCATCGGCTCACTTGGCCCGCCACAGGGTGGATCTCTGTACCAACACTTCGGAGGCATTGAATACAATACAGTTCTGGTAAGTCGGCGATGATACCTCATTCTCCTTAACCTCCACAAGAAGCAACCTCCCAAGCAGGCATTTGCCTCTCCGCCAACATTCTCCAAGTAACCTCGTCGCAACTTAGTCGTGTTGCCAGGGTGACCCAAAGAATGTCTCCTCATTCGGACCGACAGACAATAAGCACAGGCGGATTGAGGTTGCCGAGGCCCAATCTGCATTGGTTGGCAACCCTGAGCCGAAGAGGAAACGTCTTCGATTTCCGATGGGGCCTTCATACGAGTCTTCGCGATCAGTCGTTTCTGAACGGACTCAAGCGTGCAAAAGCCCGAATTTGTGCGCAACATTCCGGCAAAATGTGGCCATTTGGTACCACTTTATCGCCGAGTCGAGGATGAATAACTTCAACCATCTCTGCTCGCCTCCACCACGCAGCAGATGGGCATATTCGCGAGATCCCCTAGTTACTGGGTACACCATCACTCGTCTCCAAGGCACTGGGCCAGGCCGTCGGATACAGCCACTGGCCGCGGGTGCAGACAGCTCAGGAGGCTTGTCGTGTCGGGCGGGCATTTCAAGGCGAAATGTGGACCGGATTCAATGGTCTAAATGGTGGTGGTACCCTTTTTTTCCCTCGAGCCCCACCAAGACGGACTACATTTCATATAACAGATTTACGGGTAGTCGCAAGTGCCTACTTATCAACAAAAAATAAGTGACGCACGCAAGTGCCACGGAAAACAAAACTTGGCTTCATTGACAATCGCGAGAAGGAATATGATGTGGAAAAATGCCGGGCCTTGCTTCATAGTCAAATCGGTTCTGTGACTCAAACACACTCGTGGCAATCTGGCGTAGTGGTTACCGTGTCGAGATTAGACGCTGCATCGTCATGCTTTGGCTCTTGCTCGGGGTTTTGATAAGACCGAGACGAGGTCGAAACGGCAGTCCACTGGTGCCTGGATGAGAACACATTTTAGCAGCTGAAAGCTGTGTGAAATTGACTGGAATCGTCAGCCTTAATCATATGCTTGTGGGAAAATTCAACTGCCAGTCCTTCCTCATCTTAAATGAAATAGGGTGTATACATCGCATGAGTAACCAAAAATGTATAGATCTCTTTCTATTCAGTTTTGCCTTGTTTTCGTTTTTCATTTTGCTACTGTTGCTGATAATATTGTTGCTGTTGCTATGGCTGACGATAATGGGATCAAGATGATGATGATGATGTGAGTTAATGTGATTATGCATAGCATAAAATGAAGAGCCGACCGATCTACTTGGCTTAACGTTGGCATAAAGTTTTTGTAAAAGTGAGCTTCTTCTATGAATTGGTATGCACACTGGCGTAATAGAAGAAGACTGGCGCGAATTTCATACCGCTTTCACGTGGCGTCAGTATAACAAGAATCCGCAGTCACCTTATGGTGAATCAGAGCGTTGGAAGGGGGGGACACGACCCGGCGGAATTGGCGTCAAGGGTAGATGGAAATCTCGAAGCCGGGCGCATATTTGAGAGACTCTCGTCGTCAAGCCCCGATGGCTCATAAATGAGGACTTAGTGTTGGCGCTTACTTCCATTTCGAGTAGAAGTGTTTGGTGAAGAGATTTGAAGGTC